TTTTTTTTTTGAAATAAACAGATGTTTAAAATAGCACAGACATGTTGTTTAACGGTTCAGGAACAAAATAAAAATAGTGTTGGTAAGCGGTTGTTTGTGTGTGTACAGTGATATTTTATAGAATTGTAATAGATTAAGAAGTAAAAAGGTGTCAGACCGTGCTGCAGACATATGTATACCCCCAGCCTATGGTATGCGGCAGTCTACGGAATTACTATACACTGGTTGTGTTATTTGCTTTATATAAGGTATCATGACGTAATTATACAAGGTAGTCTCATGCAGTCATATGTTTCTAATTTTTATACCCTTCACCACACTGTGGTACAGGGTATTATGTCTTTGTGCATATGTTTGTAACAGGCAAAAGGAAACGAGATAGACACATGGTTCCTTTTGAGAATATGCATAGAATCACTTTCTAAGTCGATTTATGCATGTCCGTCCGTCCGTCTGTCCATGTTAAATTGTAAACAAAGTAGAGGTCGCATTTATGATCCGAATTGGATGAAATTTGGCATAGGTCACTTATTCGGCCCAAGGACGAACCCTATTGAAATTGGGAAAAATCGGTTCAGATCTATATATAACTCCCATATATATATTTAACCGATTTAACGTAAACGGTCCCTATATATCTTTCGATTTGCACGAAATTTGGTACAGCCTAATCATTTAGGTCTAGAATGATGTCCGCCAAGTTTCGTGAAAATCGGTCCAGATTTAGATATAGCTCCCATATATAGTTTCGTCCGATTTCATGCAAATGGTGCCCCAAAGTCCCTATATATCTTTCGATTTGCACCAAATTTGGCATAACGTACTGAATTGAGCCTAGAATGATGTCCGCCAAGTTTCGTGAAAATCGGTCCAGATTTAGATATAGCTCCCATATATAGTTTCGTCCGATTTCATGAATGCCCACCCTATATATCTTTCGATTTGCACCAAATTTGGCATAACGTACTGAATTGAGCCTAGAATGATGTCCGCCAAGTTTCGTGAAAATCGGTCCAGATTTAGATATAGCTCCCATATATAGTTTCGTCCGATTTCATGTAAATGGAGCCCCAAAGTCCCTATATATCTTTCGATTTCCACGAAATTTGGCATAACGTACTGAATTGAGCCTAGAGTGATGTCTGCCAAGTTTCGAGAAAATCGGTCCAATTTTCTATATAGCTCCCATATATAGTTTCGTCCGATTTTATGTAAATGGTGCACCAAAGTCCCTAAATATCATTCGATTTGCACGAAATTTGGCATAACGTACTGAATTGAGCCTAGAGTGACGTCTGGCTTGTTTCGTGTAAATCGGTCCCGATTTAGATATAGCTTCCTTTTATTATATTGTTACGTTCTTGGATTTTACTTAATCCCGTGTAGGCGTTGTTTTATTTCCCAATACAATTCGCGATCTAATTCACAACTGACTAACTGCCTTTCCATTTCCCCTATTTATATGAGCCTTGCCTGTCGCTACAGAAGTTTCTAGACGATCTGGTAACACATAGATTACGAACAATCTACCAATGCAACACACACATACAAACTTACATTGAGTGAACAATAACAACAACACACATATACAGGCGAGGGAGTAATGGTGTTTTACACGATATGTATTTTACATATGTGCTGTCACTTTTATCATCCATATGTAATTCCTTATGTGTGTCAAAATTAGCGGCGTACACAAAACATTTATTTTTGTGTTCAAATCGGCATATGTATTTTACATATGACATAACCTATAAACAAAAAAAACAATTTTATTTTTTCTTAAATCAACATCATTTTTTTTATTAAACACCTACAAACGAAATAACAATTTGTAATTGTTGCCTTTTCATCCTTTTCTTTGACTTGCAATTGAAATATATTCTTCCAACAATGTGTTTCATTCAAACAGCTGATTTCCTTATGTTTCACATACGAAAATAGAGCGCGTCCTATTCGGAAAAAAATACATATGTAATTGCATATCGTTTTGACACATTGAAATTTCCGTATGTTTCACATGACGAGTTCGATTTCCATATGCAAAAAAGTGACAGCACATATGTAAAATACATATCGTGTAAAAACACCATAACAAAGAAAGAGTAATTAAGCGATCATTAATGATGACTTTTAACAAGAATTGTACGTCAATAAAAAAAGGAAAATGAAAGAGGAAATGGAAGGATGTAGAAAAATCTATACAGTTATTCGAATAAACTGCGTAGTAGAAATTTACGTTACAATTCAAATTCTTAAATGAACGGAATTCATCTAAATTAACTTAAATCTAAAGTTATTTAGATAAATATCACATATTTTATTTCATCCAATTTCATGTTAATAGTCCTGTTTAATAAACCCATAGTGGTGAAGGGTATCATATAGTCGGCCACGTCCGACTTTACTACTTACTGGTTTTTTTTTATAAATTTGCCCTTGACAGTATTCAGCTTTCAAAATTTAAATGTAAATATCTTCCTTCGTAATGTACGCATATCATGTATTCAGTGGCAACAGTTGCTAAATAATTTATGTTTATAAATATTTTGAAATTCCCTGCCTCTAAAACTTATAAAAATATGATGTAACAACCATGGTTAAATCTTGGGAGCAATGTTCACTTTTAGAAAATGTATTTTGTTTAATTTATTGATAATATGCCAATCGACATACATAAAACTTTATGGAATTTCGAATTTTTCGCTTTCGAACTTGATTCAGAATAAGGGGAAAGTTAAAAAGCGAAAAAATCGCTGAGAGTTCTACTTCAGAATAACTTTAAAGGGAAGACTGAACAAATTCACAGTGAATTGAAGTCCGAAGTGAACCAAAGGGTCCCATCTTCGAAAGCTCTTCCATGTTCAGACCCTTGCATGTTCCGAAATTTTGTCTTCCACTTGATCTTTCCATTGAATTCATGACCTTCCCCTTGTGCGTGAACCATCAGCTGGCACGCTTTTTGAGCTTGGGCATCTTCATCCATTCTAACAACATGACCTCGATACGTCTAACTATATCAATGTCCAAGAATAGGTGTTCCAGCTCATGGCTCAATCTACGGCGATATTCACCGTCGAAGCAGATCGGTCCATATATCTTCCGAAGAATTTTTCTCTTCTCCAAAAGCTGCCTTATCTGCTTGCGCATGTATTTCATGCTTCAGATCGATACAACAAAATAGTCGGGTAGTATCAGCGTCTTGAAAAGTGTGAGTTTGGTCGGGTGAGAGGTTGCCTTGTTCTTAAATGTCTTACTCAAATCATAATAGCATCTGTTGGCCAGTACTATTCTTTTCCGGATTTCAAAACCTATGTTTTTAGTTTTGTTTATGGCGGTACGGAGGTATATAAAACCGTTCACTACTTCGAAGCTGTAGTTTTCAAGTTCCACAGTTGGTCCAAGTCTACTGGACGTCTTGCGCGTTGATACCATCAGCTTCGCTTTCTCGACATTTATTGTCAGACTCAAGGAATAAACACATATGAGGATTCAGGCCTGGCCTGTTAAGTCGGCCTTGTATAAAATGTCAATTTATAAAGGAATATCAGAGTCAAAGTTGAATTTGAACTTCGATCTCCTTTATTCTTTTACAATAAAAGAAGCCAACTTAACATACCAATCCTGAAGTCCTCTTATGTGTTTCCCCCTTCATTTTGGCAGACTTCTTCGCAATTTGTTCAAAGATTGATGTAATCGGCGTGGGCGAGAAACTTGTGTTGTTTGGTGTGCAGAGTGCAATTTCTGTACACCTTTGCCTCTCGTATTTTAAAAAGGATGTTAAAAAGGTTACAAATGTCGCGTTTCCACGACAGAGGGGTTTACGATATATTCGACATTCGACCCGAGTCTTACTCGGCCAACGCCTGTCTCCTCAGCCCATTGTGTAAAAGCAATAGGGCTGCTACAACAACAACAAACTGTCACCTTGTCTGAATCCTCGTTCGGTATTGAAGGACTCGGAGAGGCCTTTCCGATTTTAACTTCTGCTAAAATTATTGTATATAGCCATATTAATTTTACAGGAATGCCGAACGCAGACAGAGCTTTAAATACCTCTGAGCGGATTGAGGCTTTATAGTCGATGAATAGGTGAAATGTGTCGATGTGTTTTTCTTGGGTCTTTTCCAGGATTTGGGGCAGTATGAAAATCTGGTCAATGGTGGATTTGCCAGGTCTAAATCCGCATTGGTATGGTCCAATAATGTCATTGATCATTGGATGCAATCGTTCACACAACATTTTATATACGATAGGAAGGAGGCTAATTCTTCTTGTTGTATTTTCGAACATAATGCAACGGATGGCTCATCGCGAACGTTCTGCATAGCCCTTAAGGAGTTTGGTCGTAGGACACTCGTATTCGTTCGTTTAGAATTTTACATAGACAGGCAGTAAAACCAATATAAAGGCCTATAGATAAGGTCACCCAGGGAGACCAGCTGGATATCAGCAGCCACTCAAGTTTGCTGTCAAAATTAATTATTGTGAATTGACTTCCATTATGAAAACGTATACAAATTTCAAATGTTTGACATTAGATTTGAGAAAAAACGGCCGTTTTCCGATTTCGATTGCTACCTGCGTAATCTTATTAATAGATCTTGACCCATATTTCGATGAGACAACATATTTGAGTATCGCAGTGTGAGCAAGATCTATTAATTAACAGCTGTTTTTTCTCAAGTCTAATGTCTAAAATTTAGACTTTGTTTACGTTTTCATAAAGGAAGTCAATTCACAATAATGCATTTTGACAGCAAACTTGAGAGGTATAGATTTCCAGCTGGTATAAATACGGTTATCGATAAGTGTAAAGACGATCTATAACTACCTACATTATTTTGTTTTACCAATCAGCTGTAGTTTTCACAATCAAACTAGTGTGCCCTTTAAATTGTAAACATTTTGCGAATTCGCTCTTGTGAAATTCCAAACATTCGACGGCGAATAATTTCGTTTTCTTTGCGTAACGATAAAAACAAATTTTTGCGCACAAAATGAATGGATTGAAATTTACCAGGACCCTATCCTTATTAAGGTATGTTTAATTGGATAATACAAAAACTTTGCTAACCACATTTTACATTATCCAGGGCCACTTTACCCAAACAACAGTATCGCTTTATGGGCCAAAAAGCAACAGCGGCTAGAGGCGGCACTACAGCCAGGCCGGCAGAAGGTGAAGTCAACAATACCCCCATAAATTATTTTGGTAGTGATGCTGCATTATGGCGTGCCAAAGATACACGTAGCGGTGGATCCGATGAACATTTGTGGTACCAACCATATGTCATCTCCGGAAGTTTGGCAATATTTCTGCTATATTTTTGTTTGTTGCGTGAAGAAAGCGATATTGATTTGAAACTTGAGGGTAGTCTCTATGAACACGTGCAGGGCTTGGAAGAAGTCCAGCTGTCCATGAACTATAAATACAACAAAGAGAATGGTTTGGACAACACACAAGTGGTGAAGAGATTAACTGAATTGGGTATTGATGTGAAACTATTAGATGGAGGCAAATAGTTTGAGTAAGAGAAAAAACAACAAATTAAATTAAAATAAATCTTTGTAAAGCTTTGTTATCATTGTTAATCCAAAAAGAAAAAAATGTTTATATATTTTAAGTGAAGCAAATGAAAGTGGTTTTTGAATGAAAATGAAATGAATTTCAAGTGGTGAATGTAATGGAAAACAAAGGCAGTGGTTTGATTTTAGCCAGAAATCAATGGTACATACAACAGTAAACCTTATGTATTCACTTAGTAAAGGAAATCAAAAATATGAATTAAAAACTCCACGCTTAGCAAGGCGTTGAGGGAAGACTTTAAATGGAGCTTAAAAAATATACTTTAAAATAATCCATGCATACAATGGCGCTTGAATATTTTGTCTTCAAAAAATCCGCTCTTATGGTGGACCTTGAAAACATATTCTTCGAAAAATCCACACTTAGTTTGGACCATGAAAAAATATTCGTCTTAACTCTAGTCAAAACAATATGATTTTTTTTTTATTTTCCAGAGTTACCCTAATTATGGTATTGTCACATATGCTACTATGGCCTAAGTAAACAATTCAAAAACAAGGCTACCTCTCGCCGGACCGAACTCACTCTCTACAAGACACAGATATTAACCGTGCTGTTGTATCTGAAGCATGGGTACTTCGGCAAACCGAATGCTCCATGAGCTGTACCATCTATTCTCGGACATTGACATAGTCAGACGTATCGAGCTGCAGCGAATATGTTGGGTAGGCCATGTTGTGAGAATGGATGAAGATGTCCCAGCTCAAAAGGCATTCTCATGGCAAAAGGCTGATGGTTCACGAGGAAGGGGAAGGCCACGAATTAGATGGAAAAATCAAGTAGAAGACAACATTGTCGAACATGATCTTACAAAATCCAGCAAATGAGGAGCACGCCACAAGCAGCTCTGAACGCAATGATGAACTTAAAGCCTCTGGGCCTCAGCATTAAGTGTCAGGCCGCACATGCCAAAAAAAATCTTTGGGGAAGTTGTACCTTTGTTCTGTCACAAGCCAGCTAAGAAAGTATCCTATATATATATATATATTTTTATATATCACCATAATTAGGATAATCCTCCAAAAAAATCTGATAGTTTTTTCTACTAAACTAGAGAAAATCCACACTCATAGATCATATGGTCCTTAAAAATCCACTATTATAGCTCATGTGGCCCTTAAAAGGGTTCTTTTGCTGGTCCTTAAAAATATTCTTTAATTCTAATATTCTTTATTCTTATGTTTGCCACAAATGCCGATATTTCTGATTGGAATAATTATTATGCCTTGACTATTTTAAGACCATTTTATTGTTGTATTTTCGCTTTGCCCCTCATTTGTTACATTATTTGTTTTTCCTAATTTATATTTTGGCGGTAAATTGCCGGAATATTTGGCTCGGCAATCTTCTTCCCATTCCTTGGGATGGGCCTTTTTACGATGACTATGCATATTGGCATTTGAATTGAAGGTTTTCGGGCAATATTGGCATGTATACAACACAGTTCCAGTGTGTGTGGCCATGTGTTCCTGAAAGCAAAACATATACAAAAATTAGTATATTTTTAAAAATGATTTCCAAATCTTTTGTATCCTTTACCTTGAGAGTACTTGCTCTTTTATACGCCTTTTCGCACAACGTACACTTAAAATCATAACCCAATTCATGTTTATCTTTAACATGTTTCTTATGGGCCTTCAGCGTTGGTGAGATCTGTGAACAAATATGACATGGAAATTGCTGTTTACCACCCTCCGGATGTTGGGAATCTTTGTGGCGTTTAAGCCCCCGTTGACCGGTAACCTTTAGGCCACAAACATCACAAGCTATGGTGGGTATCGGCACTCCTTTGTGCTTCAACATATGACGTTCGAAAACATCTTTACCGCGCATTTTTTCTCCACACACATCACAGACCAGGGCATATTTGTTTTGATGGACCACACGTACATGATTGGCCAATAGGTTGTGGTTACCAAAACTGCAAAAAGGAAGAGAATTAAAAATCATAATAAAAGGTTTAAATATTTGGCTTACAGTTTACCACATTGTTCACAGGAGAATTTCTTTTCCTCATCGGAGAGATGTATCAATTTGTGTATCTTCAGACCAGGTTTTCGTGAGAAACCTTTCTGGCATATATCACATATATGGATTTTGTCTTGAATGCCATGGGTCTTTACATGCAATTCTAAAGAACGACGATCTGACATTACTTTGCCACAATGTTGACATTTAAAATAATCCGGATCAAGATGACAGTGTATGTGATCGGCGAGAAGACTACATTTTAAAAATTTCTTATTACAGCACACAACATAGCCCGGCTCATTGTGTTGCTTATTAAAATGTTTGCATAGTTCATTGAAGCTATGCATTGGGGCCTGACAAATAATACACGAGATTTTATAATGTTTGGCCAGAAACTCATTGACTTCTTTTCGTTTTGTACGTGGTTTATAGTAGGGGTTTAAGCGTGGTTTATATTCTCTTGATTTTTGCTGCCCTCCACCACTGTCCTCAGAATCACTTTCACTATCCGATGATGATGATTTTTCACTGGGAAGGTCACCATCCAACCTTGTGGGACTGGGTGATGTTTCTTTCGTAGCGGCCGTATCTTCTTTATCATCGTTATTTGTTTTGTTTGCCTTTCGTCGTCCTCTTTTCTTGCCGGTGGGCAAAGATTTTTCCAATGGATCTTCATTAATTTCCTCAGGTTTATATGGCATTTCCGTATCTACTATGGTTATTGGGGGTTCCTCAATAACATTTTCACTTTTTATTTCAGGAAATATATCCATTTCTTGTGTTGTTGTTTCAGCAGACGTTCTTGTTTCAATTGTTACCATCATCTTTGATGATGAATTCTCCTCGTGATTTGTTATAAATGGTTCGGGATTTTCATTATTTTCAAATACTTCAGTTTTTAATGCCGACACAAAATAGGTGTGAACATCTTCTATATGCAAATAGAATTTATGAAAATCGTATACGATTTTCCAGCATGTGTTGCATAGCCATGATGTGGATGTTATAGATTTCTGAAATTAGAAAAGGAGAAAAAATTATGAAGTAAACAAATATTTCTTTAACAAATCTACGTTTAAGAAGATTGTTGAAAAATATTCTTTAGAAAATCCACTTTTCCAGTGATCGTAGAACATTTTTTTTAAATCCACGCCTAATAAATTTATTCTGTTTCGAAAAAAACTTCGAACGTGGCTTTGGAAGAGGACCCTACTTAGTATACATTATAAACTGCCTGTCCAGATTTCGGACTATTTTTTATATGTTATTTTGTAGAGGCCAAAACTGGCAATACATTAAAAATCTATTTTGAATTAAAGGAATAATCTGTTTATGTATACCCAGATTTATAAAACAGTAAAGTGAGGGGGGACACAATAAGAAGTCCTAACTGTGGTAGGTAAGGTTTGGGGATGTTTAGTCACTAATGTGGCTGCAGCACTGTGAGACCGTCCATTGTGTCCATTGTGATCATCCACGAAGTGAAAAAATATTGAGAGATCTATGGGAAGTGTGGGAAGGTAAGCATGAGATAGTATCGATAGCTATAGGGATCGGACAGAAGATATATTACGTGCCAAGGTTGCACATTTCCAACCACTTTAAGTTTCTAATGATGCTGTAGATTAGAGCAGGTTCCGTTGTTGAAAAGAAACTAATACTCGGTGAAAATGAGCAACCAATAGTCTGTGCCGTCTGTAGGCCAGGACTGGGCAGCGACACAGGAGATGCTCAATTGTCCCCGTCTCCTCCTTGTAACGCAGAGTCTACGGTAATCAGTAGCATCATGGTCCATTTACTGGTGAAGGCCCTGATATTGCAATGGCCAGTAATGATTCCTGTCATTACTCTTATTTCAGCTTTGCTCAGTTTCAACAGTGAGTGTGTCCTTTTGGTAGACAGAGTCGGCCAGATGGATCTTGACACATTGGACCTAGGTTCGTTTTTCCAAAGTTAACAGTCTCTTTCGTCGAAGAACACCACAAAGTTCCGACAAAGATGACATATGGGTGGTAGATCTGTAGATTGAGATCCTCGTCTAGCTAATTCGTGTGCCTTTTCATTACCCATGATATCACGGTGCCCTGGTATCCAACACAGCCGATAGCTGTAAGTAAGTTCTTCCAAACTGTTCTACACTTGAGGACGGCCTCAGATTTGATGGCTTTAAGAGCCGCTTGACTATCTACAAAGATAATCACCGGTTCACCGATCCCTGCATCCAGAATCCCAAATCGCGAAAATTTCAGCTTGGAAAACACTACATTTGCTATCCAGCTTGTAGGCTTGTAGGAAAGGATGGGCCTTACCATGGTTTTATACAACCAGTTTCTAGTCGATTGTTTTAGCCTCCAATTTTTCCCAATGGAATTCTTGCATGCATAGTGTGCAATTAGCTCCATTTCTACTACTACTTACTAGACACCAAAAATGTTTTTCCAATATTGCTTCGATGTTCTCGTCGTGCCATTGTTGGGATGTAACTTTAATGCCATCTATGAGATCTGGTTTCAGTTCCAAACACAGTAAACACATATCCATTTTGGGAAGAAACAGAAAGTGGATACTACTTTTCTTAAATCTTCGAAAGAATTTGTAAAATGTTTACAATTGTTGTGGGATACAAAAGCAAAATAACAGCTGATAAAAACATCAATGATTTTAGGGATCTCAGCTGCAAATAAATGCTTCTGTAGGGATCTAAAAATCATTAATGGGAACATTTAGTGATCTATAAAGCGAATAATGGAGGGAATAGGGGAGATAATTACGATGGGTGTTGTGAGTAGGTAAATGATGAACCGTTATTGAATGGCCGGATGACTATAGTGATCGGAAACGGAAGCATTACTTTGGTTTCATAGTTGGACGTTTTATAGGCTTCACCACGATGATTTTTTAATGGTACACGCATGTTACGATAATACATTGTAAAATTATTAAAATTAGGCCATAGAAAGTTATAAAATCAATTTGTTTCATATTTGGTCTGTTCCCCTACTGCAAGAATCTTCTAGATTTTCGATAACATAGAAGAAAATTTGTAATTGTAATTTGAAATTGTTTGTACTGTTCAATTTGTTGTACTTCAATTCCGAATTCCACCTCTATTCCTAACTCTAATATCATGTTTATTACCATTTAGCACTCTTCACAGACATTAGCGCTAATTTCCGAAATTTCTTTTTTATTTTAGATATACAGATTCAAAAGTGATAAGAATTCCAATCAATATTCCAAATTTTAGGTTTTCAGCCATTTCCGTTCACTTAAAATTAAAATTGTACTAAATTTAGTATTACTTGTTACCTATAAGTACGAATTTCCTAAACTACCTCAATCCTACAATCCAATTGTACCAAATTTAGTACCGTTTACTTCATATAGTTTTCAAAACTTACCTCAGTCCTACATTTATCATTATTCGAAATTTTAGGTTTCCAACTCTCTACGTTACCCAAATCCAAATTTTAGGGAATACCATGAAATGTTTGTTTCTTTTATACCAAAGTAATTACTTCCAGACTAAAGCGGAAAAGTCATTTTCATTTTAATTAAATATGATTTTAATTGGTATGGTATTCAAAACCATACACACAAACACATTCGCAAAATATGTATTTTCGTCTGATGGAACAGGCCACTTCCAGAAATGTTTTAGCATGGGTCAAATCGTATTAACCAAATAGAGCGTACCATCTTTCATAACGGACACTATGACCTCGATAAACTAAAATTCAATTTCAGCTTGTTACAAAACGCTTTAAATATTCCACTTTTTTCAGTTCACTTTTTCTACATTATTTTATTTACAAAATATAAAAGTCTATTCTATATAAAAACATCAAATTGAAAAGACATTGTTTGATTCTCAATTTCTTCGGTTGTTTTTTCAGGTCCTTTGTAATTAGGTGGCAAATTGCCAGAATATCTGGCGCGACAAGTTTCTTCCCATTCTTTGGGATGGTTTTTTTTGCCATGATGATGCATATTGGAGTTAGAATTGAACGTTTTTGGACAATGTGCACATGTGTATAAAGCGGTGCCAGAGTGAGCAGCCATATGTTCCTTTTACAAAAAACCAAACCAAACAAAATTAAAAAATAATCTACAATAAAAAAAATCTATTACACACCTTCAAAGTATATGATTTCTTAAAAGCCTTATCACATATTGAACACATGAAATCATAACCGGTCTCATGTTTGAACACAATGTGCCTTTTGAGAGATTTTAATGTTGGCGATACTTTCGGACACAAATGGCATTTAAATTCCTTTTTACCATCCTCCGGATGTTGCGTTGCAATGTGCCGCTTCAGATAACTTGGATCTATCATTTTCAAGCCACAAATATTACAGGCTACAGTTGGCCGTTCCGTACCTTTATGTTTCTGTTGATGACTTTCCATTGCATCTTTACCACTTAGTTTTGTTCCACAAATATCACATACGTGTGCATATTTCTTCATATGTACAATGCGAAAGTGAATTGCCAAAAGCGAATTGTCAGCAAAACCAAGAAAATAAAAAAAAATATATATTTTGTTAGATTAACGAATATTAACGTATAAAAAATATAACTCACAGTTTACCACATTCTGAACATGAGCATTTTTTTTCTTCATCGGGAATATGTAACAGCTTGTGCCTCTTCAAATTTTTCAAACAAAAACGATCAGCCATCTCTTTATCACATAAATTGCACTTAAAATAGTTTGGATTTCGGTGACAATGAACATGATCGACCAATAGACTACGTTTAGAGAATTTCTTTTTACAGCATATCACATACGCTGGTTGTTGATGCTCCTGAACAAAATGTTTACATAACTCATAAAATGTTTTCACGGCCAATTGACAAATATCGCATGTGATATTTATATTTTCTGTTAGAAATGCATCAGCTTCTTCTGGTTTGGTTTTAGGGGGATAAATAAATGTTGATTCACGAGTATTGGCATTATTTGCACATTCATCCATTTCATTGTCGGAATTGTTTAAATATGAATCTACACCAACATCCAAATCGTTAACATTGTCATTTGGATTAGTTTCCTCATCGCTGTTAGCTTTTTCACCATCGCAATTATTTGCCTCTTCTGTACTTTGGACTTCATCAACATTTTCATTATAGCTATTGGCAAAGTTCGGTTCTTTTGAATTTTGTATCTCTTCATCTTTCTCAAGGTTATTCTTGATTTTTCCTGGCTTTGCCGTTCTCTTGGTTTTTTGTTGCTTTGGTTTATTTTTTCTATTCAACGTTGTTTGTAAGGGATCTTTACAACTGCGAGTTCTGGGTTTGTTTTCCAATTCATCGTCCTTATTATTTTCCATTTTATGTTCTTGATTGATGACCAAACAAGGTATTTTTGCTGGATCCTCACTGATTGATTCGCACAAGATTTCTTTGCAAGTGTCATTATTATCATTAGTTTCCAATTTATCAATCATGTTTGTAACAACTTCAATATTAAATTCACATTCTTGTGATTCGCTGCTGGTGAAATTTAATTTTTCTGTATTCTGAACCCCTTCATTTTTCACAATGTTAATCTTGTTTTTGTCTTGTCTAGGCGATCTCTTGGTTTTTCGTTGTACCTCTTCTTTTTTCTCAAGGATATTCTTGTTTTTGTCTTGCCTTATAGAACTCCTGGATTTTCTTTCATATTTTTTATTCAACGTTCTAGGTAAGGGATCCTTACTTCTACTAGTCTTGGATAGTTTTTCCAATTTATCGTCCTCATTATTTTCCATTATCTGTTCTTCATTATTAATTTCACATTTCATAATTACCAAACATGGTAAGTTGTCCAGATCCTGGCTGATGGATTCGGTTAAGATTTCTTTAGAAGTGTCATTATTATCATTAGAATCAATTTCCAATTTATCTACCTTGTCTGTGTCAATTTCAATATTAATTTCACTTTCTTGTGGTTCTAGCTTTACTGGGGGAATAAAAGATTTGTGGCTATTTTCGATGTTTAAATAAAACTCATGGAATTCCTTTAGTGTGTTCCAGCAATTTATACAAAGCCATGTATGTGAAGCAATCTGTTTCTGTAAATTTAATTGAGGTGGGATATTTTTATTGTGAAATTTTTTAAAATAATAAATCCTGAAATTGTATTTACTTTACTCAAAAATGGCCAAAAATGTTTTTCAATTATTTCTCCAATTTTCTCATCGTGCCATTGTCTGGACGCCACTGGTATATACTGCGATTCCAGGTTAAGCTCCAAACAGAGAAGGCAAATATCCATTTCAGTGAATATTTTTATAAATATTCTAGTTTGTTTTGGAAAATAATGTTTTTAATTGTTGAATAAAAAATAAATAACCCAATTCATTTGATATAAACAAATCCTTCCTCTTTTTATAGCTGTACATGTCATTCATTGTGAAATGATTACAGAATTCTATGATGTATTTGCCAAGGTGTACATTATCTAATTTGGCGCCAACGTCCTTTTGAAAAAAAACAACAAAAATGACAGTACCACTGCTAGAAAGCAACCGTTATCTCGGCGAATTTTTATAAATATTTTATTTTTATTTCTATAAAATATATTAATATACACTTTGGTAAGCATATCATAGAATTTGATATCGTTTCACAATGAATGACATATACAGCAATATGAAGAGGAAGCATTTGTTTATCAAATTCTTATTTTTTTCATTCAACAATTAAACATTATTTTCCAAAACAATTTGGAACATTTATTGGAATAAATATTATAAAAAATATACTGATATGGATATTTGCCTTCTATGTTTGGAGCTTAAGCAGGAAACGCCACAGTATATACCAGTGGCGTCCGAACAATGGCACGAAGAGAAAATTGGAGAAATAATTGAGAAACATTTTTGGCCTTTGGTGAGTAAAGTAAATACAATTTCAAGATTTATTATTTAGAACATTATCACTATAAAAATAACCCGCCTGAATTTATTTTACAGAAACACATTGCTTCTCATTCATGGCTTTGTATGAATTGCTGGAACACGCTAAAGGAATTCCATGAGTTTTATTTACACATCGAAGATAGCCACAGGTCTTTGATGTCCCTATTAAAGCTAGAACCACAAGAATATGAAATTAATATTGAAATTGACACAAACAGAATGGATAAATTGGAAACAAATGATAAGGACAATAATGACTCATTCAAAGAAAGCTTAGCAGAATCAATCAGCAAGGACCCAAAAAACTTAACCGATTTGGTAACTACGAAAAGTGAAGTGAATAATCAAGAACAGATAATGGAAAATGAAGAGGAAAACGATGAATTGAAAAACAAACCCAGGACTCGTAGAAGTAAAGATCCCCTGCAGACAACGTTGAATAGAAAAAATAAACCCAAGCAACGAAAATCCAAAAGAACAGCAAGGCAAGAAAAAATTAAGAATAACCTTGAGAAAGAAGAAGAGATTCAAAATTCAAAAGAAACGAAATTTGCCAACAGCGATGATAAAAAAAATGATAAAGTCCAAATTACAGAAGAGGGAATTTATTGTGATGGTGAAAAAGCTAACATAGATGTTGAAACTAATGAAAATGTTGACAATTTGGATGTTGGTTTAGATTCATATTTAAACAATTCCGACAATGAAATGGATGAAGGTGACAATAATGCCAATACTCAAGAATCAACATTTATTTATCCTCCTAAAACCAAACAAGAAGAAGCTGATGCATTTCTAACAGAGAATATTAAAATCACATGCGATATTTGTCAATTGGCTGTGAAAACATTTTATGAGCTATGTAAACATTTCGTGCAAGAACATCAACAGCCAGGCTATGTGATATGCTGTAAAAAGAAATTCTCTAGTCGTAGCCTATTGGTCGATCATGTTCATTGTCATCGAGACCCAAACTATTTTAAATGCAATTTATGTGATAAAGTGATGGCTGATCGCTTTTGTTTGAAAAATCATTTTAAAAAACATCAGGTTAAAATCCGATCACATATATGCGATACATGTGGGAAGGCATTTACACATCCCACGAATTTGAAGAGGCACAAATTGTTACATATACCCGATGAAGAAAAGAAATACTCTTGTTCAGAATGTGGTAAACTGTGAGTTATATTTACCCGTTAATATTCGTTGATCTAATAAAAAAGGTTTTTTATTTTTCTTAGTTTTGCTGACAACACGCTTTTGGCAAATCATTTTCGCTTTGTACATATGAGGAAATATGCACACGTATGTGATATTTGTGGAACAAAACTAAGTGGCAAGGATGCGCTGGAACGTCATCAACTGAAACATAAAGGTGCGGAACGGCCCACTGTAGCCTGTAATATTTGTGGCTTGAAAATGATTGATCCAAGTTATCTGAAGCGCCATATTGCAACGCAACATCCGGAGGATGGTAAAAAGGAATTTAAATGCCATTTGTGCCCGAAAGTATCGCCAACATTAAAATCTCTCAAAAGGCACATTGTGTTCAAACATGAGACCGGTTATGATTTCAAGTGTTCAATATGTGATAAGGCTTTTAAGAAATCATCTACATTGAAGGTATGTTATAGATTTTTTGTTATTGAAAAAAATGTTGAACTTTCTGATTTTTTTTTGATAAAGGAACACATGGCTGCCCACTCTGGCACCGCTTTATACACATGCCCACATTGTCCAAAAACTTTTAATTCAAACTCCAATATGCATCATCATCGCAAAAAAATCCATCCCAAAGAATGGGAAGAAACTTGTCGCGCCAGATATTCTGGCAATTTGCCACCTAATTACAAAGGTCCTGAAACAACAACCGATGAAATTGAGAATCAAACAATGTCTTATCAATTTGATGTTTTTATATAGAATAGAATTTTGTATTTTGTAAATAAAATAATGTAGAAAAAGTGAACTGAAAAAAGCGGAATATTTAAAGGGTTTTGTAACAATCTGAAATTGAATTTTAGTTTATCGATGTCATAGTGTCCGTTATGAAAGATGGTACGCTCTATTGGGTTAATACGATTTTATCCATGGTAAAACTTTGCTGGTAGTGGTACATATTTTGTAAATGTGTGTGTTTATTGTTTTGAATACCATACCAAATAAAATCAAATTTAATTAAAAAGAAAATGATTTTTACCGCTTTCGTCTGGATGTAATTACTTTGTTAGGAATGAAACAAACATTTCATGGTATTCCCTATTGTATATTGAGAAGAAATTATAACCTTTTTTAATTATGTGCGTATTTGACAGAAGAAGCCACACGTACATAATTGCTTTTTTGTTATATATCTCAAACTGCCCTACCTGGTATTATTTTACCATGGTACCAAGTGATACTAAATTTAGTACAATTTGGATTTTGGGTGAACGGAAAGAGCTGAAAACCTAAAATTTAGAATATTGATTAGAATTCGTATGACTTTTGAATCTGTATTACGAAAATAAAAAAAAGATATTTCGGAAATTAGCGCTTATGTGTGTGAAAAGTGCTAAATGGTAATAAACATGATATTAGAGTTAGGAATATAGGTGGAATTCGGAATTGTAGTACAACAATTTATACAGTATTCATGATTTCCATATAACAACGTTACCTAAAATTCAACGAGGCTTACAAACATATTCAAATTCCCCACAATGACGAAATGTTTTGTACGGCCGTATTACCCAAATACGTCGAGTCCATATCTCTTAGCGAGCTAAACAAAATCGATAAATAAACCGATTTTCAGGAAACTTAACACACATCACATTCTAGACTTACGCTATGCCAAATTTCGTGCAAATCGAAAGATATATAGAGACTTTGTTGAACTATTTACATTAAATCGGTCGAAAAATATATAGGAGCTATATCTAAATCTGAACCCATTTCCCAATTCCAATAGGGTTAGTCCTTGGGAAAAATAGATGAGCTGAGCCAAATTCCACCCAATTTGGATAATAAATGCGACCTGTACTTCGTTTACAATTTAACATGGAAAGACAAACAGACTTACGGACGGACATGCATAAATCGACTTAGAAAGTGATTCTATGCATGTTCTCAAAAGGGACCATGTGTATATCTCGTTTCCTTTTGCCTGTTACAAACAACAACAGCAAAGACATAATACCCTGTACCACAGTGTGGCTATAAAAATATCATCGTGGTAAAAAATATCGATAGAGTACGTCCAAAAATTGGTAATATTTTAAAACATTTTAATTTGTGTTATCACTCCGCATTGGATGTACAATCTGCTGGATGTCATGTGTTTGCAGCAAAGGAAACCAGAACAGATTGTTTACTATTTTTAACAATGGGCATGGAATAGAGCCCTATTTATTTCTTTATAAAATAAATGATTCCCATAAAAAATTAGAATGGATAATTGTATGTTATGTTTGGAGTTAAAACAACAATCCACTGAATATATTCCAGTAGGCTCAATACAATGGCTGGAGGAGAATATACAACAAATAATTGAGAAACATTTTTGGCCTTTGGTAAGTGAAACTTTACAGTTTATAGGAAATAATTGGAATATTGAATTAAATTTAATTTAATTTCAGAAGGACGTTATATCCACTTCATGGATTTGTGTTGATTGTTGGAATGTGCTAAGAGAATTTCACAAGTTTTATTTACGCATTGAACATAGTCACAGAAGTTTCGTATCGTTCATAAAAGTGGAGGAACCGGATTGTGAGAATAGCGAAGAAAATATTTCACAAAACATTTCAATTATATATGAAAATAATGATATTATGCAAAGTATTGACGAGGACGAGAATGAAGTTATTTTGAAATTTGAAGTGGACAATGAAGATAATTTAATTGATGATGGTACGATATACAAACCGGCTTGTAGGCGCAGTAACCGCAATCTTTCTACTTCGAAGGAACAGGAACGTTCACTGGATATGGAAAATGATGGTATAGGTGTAGAAACATATACTACAACAACTACAAACCCAATTTCCGAAAATCGTAACCAAGAAATGCTGTTAGTTGAAGAACCAAAGACACAAGGAAGGACTTGCCAAAATAAAGGAGATCATTTGGAATCACTGGATATGGAAAATGATGGCATAAATGTAGAAACATATACTAAAACAACTATAAACCCAATTTCCGAAAATCGTAACCAAGTTGAAGAACCAAAGACACAAGGAAGGACTTGCCAAAGTAAAGAAGATCCTTCGCAAACATCACAGACACAAAACAAGCAAATATTAAGAAAAACTGACAATAAAACTGGTATTGAAAAATCATTAGAAGAAAAATCAAAAGAAATCACTGACATTAAGTGCAATATTACCAAAGACTCTGAAAATCAGGAAGAATATGAACATGATTTTTCAGACGAATTAGATACCAATACGAACTACTCAGATAATGAAACAAACGACAATGTAGATAACAATGAAGCACAAAATAAATGTATATATCCTCCTAAAACTAAATACAATGAAGCCGATGAATTTTTAACAAAAAATCTTAAAATTATCTGTGATATCTGCCACACACCTTCGCAAACATTTACAGATTTATCAAAACATTTTATCGAAGAACACAATCAAGAAGCCTATGTAATGTGTTGTAAAAAGAAATATTCTACTCGTAGTCGACTAGTCGATCACGTACACACACACTTGGATCCCGAATACTTCAAATGCAATTTATGTGGCAAAGTTTTGTCAGATCGTCATTGTTTGACACAACATTTTCGTACTCATGCAGACAAGGGTAGAACAGTAATTTGTGATATCTGTGGAAAGGGATTTACGCATTCTTCACATTTGCGAAAACACAAATACATACATATATCTGAAGAGGAGAAGCAGTATCCGTGCAATGAATGTGGTAAATTGTAAGTTGCAATATGAGTTTAACACATCATCTTAATCATCCTCTTAATTTAATCACTTTCATTATAGGTTTGCTAACAGAACGATGCTCAACGCGCACGAACGTGTTGTGCATCAAAAAAAATATTCCCGAACCTGTGGTATATGTGGTGTGACATTGTTTAGAAAAGATTCTTTTGAGCGGCATCAAAACAAACACAAAGATATACGTCCCACTGCCACATGCAATATCTGTGGTCTGATAGTCATTGATCAATTTTATTTGAAACGCCACATGGCAACACAGCATCCAGAGAATGGCAAAAAGGAATTCAAATGTAATATATGTTCAAAAGTATCACCAACATTGAGGTCGCTGAAAAAACACATTGACCTCAAACATGAAAGGCGCTATGATTTTAAGTGTTCCATATGTAATAAAGCTTTTAAAGAAATGTATACGTTGAAGGTATGTACATATATAATTATTTTAGCCCATAGAACATAATATTCTACCTTTATTCTTTTTTTTTTTGAAGGATCACATGGCAGCACATGAAGGTACGGCGCCATACACTTGTCCACATTGTCCAAAAACTTTTTACTTTAGAGCCAATATGCATCACCATCGCAAAAAACACCATCCCAAAGAGTGGATTGAATCTCGTCGTGCCAGATATTCGGGTAATTTGCCACCAGATTTTAAAGCTCCAGATATAAAATAATTCAAATGAATTAGATGTGTAATTGTTTTTATGTATTTTTTTAAATATAAAAAGTTTAAGTCATTTCAAAAGTTTTTATTTCCATGGTATGTACCAAGTTTATTTCTATTAGTATGGTGCTATAATGGGGCTACTTATATATCATTTTGTGTTGGACGGTCCTTGGCTCTGAGTCTCTTAATCTCCTATCTGAGACTCAGGGATGGTCCGTGTGACGAATTTTTAGGTTTTCGACTGTCAAAAAGGTGTAAACGTCGAAAACGTCATATACCTGTATAAAATGTAATAAACGTAGTAAATGTCATTTATATCAATATTATCAGCAGTTATTTTCAAGAATATATATTATTTTTACATATATTTGACTATTCCTTACTAGAACTGATAATAATTTTTAAATTTTTTTGAGAAGAAAATTTTGAAATTTTATATGGATTTGAGTAAAGCATGCGTAATTTCCAAATTGATTAATGGGAATAGCTATTTTGTCGAAAACCTAATGGATTTGGGTAGGTTTCCGACGTTTCTGACGTATGTATTATACGTCGGAAATGTATGTCATTTACGTCACTGTTTCTGACAGGCCATCTCTGCTGAGACTCATTTCCCAGGTTGCAAAGATGTGGATACCATCAACAGTGAACGTTATGACACTCAGCCTCTCGCGACTTTAGATTTGGATCTCATTGGCATGGTGGTTAACAGAATTAAGATACGCTGGGCAGTCAATATAAATCGCCAGGACCAGATGGAATAACACCGGCGATGCTTCAATTTACCTCGCCAAGTATAGGTTTGACTCTCTCGGGCATTCCGGCTCTATGGAACAAAGTAAAGGTTATTAATATTCCTAAAGCGGGTAAAGCAATCCACTCTGCACCAAAGGACTATAGACCCATTAGCCTATCATCCTTTCTCCTCCAGACTCTCGAAAGACTGATCGACCTGGAGATTAGGAGTCGTATAGACACCTAATCCCTTATCAGTTCACAACACACATACATAATTGGCAAGTTTGCAGAAGCTGCACTGCACGAGGTAGTAAGCCTTCCTGGGGATTAGGAGTCGTATAGTCATCTCTTATCAGTTCACAACAAGCATACATAATTGGCAAGTCTGCAAAAGCTTCACTGCACGAGGTGGTAAGCCTTCCTAGATATAGAGGGAGCCTTTAACAACGTTAAACTTGTGTCCGTAAACCACTCACATAAAAAAGTTGGCACTCCTGAAACCCTTACTTGTTGGATAGATAAAATGCAGAATTAAAATATTCAAATGTGGGGGATACAAAAATCAGGAAAACAGTAACTAGAGGCACCCGTCAGGGAGGGTTGGTCTCACCGTTGCTACGGCAATTAACAACATACTGATGGAACTGGACGGAGCAGGTATCAAAGTCGTAGCTTATGAGGACGACATCGTGATATTGATTTTCGGAAAATTTTCCGAGCTTATGCAAAAAACCTTACAGACGCTGTCACGCTGGGCCAAGACGAACGGCCTTTGTGTAAACCTAACAAAGACGAAACTGGTAATGTTCACTAGGAAGCGTAAGCTCGGCCATAAAGAATCCCTCCAGACTCCCTTCAGCTTGTCTATAAAGACTCCCTTCAGCACGTCTATAAATACACGCTTCAGCCCTTCTATATAAAATCTCCCTTCGTCTATAACGATTCTATATATTTATTTACGATTTCTCTTCATACATACCTAAATATTTAAATAAGAAAAAAATGTTATTTGTTTGTGTGTGTTTAAAATAAGAATTTATTGAAAAAATATATATTTATAAAATTACTAATTATATTCTTAATATTATAAACTAAATTTGATAAACTAAAATTTTAATTAACTTCGAATTAAAACATCAAATCGAAATATTTTCAATAGTAGTAGGAGTTTATAAAATAAATTACAAATAATGTTTATTGAAAAATACAAATCCAAATGAATTTAAAAAGTTCGATATGGCTATAAGAATATGCAAATGAATATTTTTAATTTAGAATATCGGACTTAAATCTGATTACATTTTTGTTTAAAATACCACTTTTTAAATTAATTATTAATAATTAAAAAAGGGCGTCAAATTTATTATTAAAATGTATTAATATCATAATAATAATTATTAATAACATAATAATAATTATTAATATCATAATAACAATTATTTTCTAAAGTCTGTTTACACAACCTTTATATTGAATATTTTATAAATGGTTATAATTTGGCTGTTTTATAACAATTTAGTAAAACAAATATAAACATTGTGTATACAGATTTTAAACATGTATTATTTAAAAGTAATTTCATTGTTAGATTTGTTATTTTTTTTTAATATATAAATCTCAATAAAAAATATTCACTTGGCTGATGTGTATACAATTACACTGTGATACAAAACAAAACTAAAAATTTTTTCAGGAGTTCTAATGTACCAATACTGTTTAGTTGGAGTCCCTGGACCACGAATATACCTTTGGTTTTTCTGGGTCACTTCGAAAATTTGTTTTATAACGGTAAATGTAGGAAAAAACGTGGTTCCATAGATTTTCACTTTGAAACGCGTATGACTTCTTTTCTTTCTAACGGATTTATACTATTCTTTTTTTCGTTCGAAGAGTAGAATTTTATCTTTCAAACAAGATATATATTTGGTAAATCGGTTGAGGATTGGCTGAGTTACAGCGGTTGAAATGTGAAAAAATACGCATAAAATTACAAAATTTATTTTTCTTCGGACTGTACGATGAAATTATGATATCAAGCCATATAAGTTTTATTATATTATGGGGAAGAAAATTAAATTAGCTTTCGAAAATGATAAAAATCAAAAAAATCGGTTAAAAAATGGATGACTTATACACATTTTTGTATTGATTCTATGCATATTCTCTAAAGGAAATATGGGTCTGTATCGTTTCCTTTTACGAACCGTTATGTTTGTAACAGGCAAAAGGAAATGAGATAGACTCATATTTCCTTTAGAGAATATGCATAGAATCAATACAAAAATGTGTATAAGTCATCCATTTTTTAACCGATTTTTTTGATTTTTATCATTTTTGAAAGCTAATTTAATTTTCTTCCCCGTAATATAATAAAACTTATATGGTTTGATATCATAATTTCATCGTACAGTCCGAAGAAAAATAAATTTTGTAATTTTATGCGTATTTTTTCACATTTCAACCGCTGTAACTCAGTCAATCCTCAACCGATTTACCAAATATATATCTTGTTTGAAAGGAAAAATTGTACTCTTCGAAAGAAAAAAAGAATAATATAAATCCGTTATAAAGTAAATAAGTTATTCAAGTTTCAAATGGAAAGTCCATGAAACCACGATTTTCTCTATATTTACCGTTATAAAATTAATTTTCGAAGTGACCCAGAAAAACCAAAGGTATTTTCGTGATCCAGGGACTCCAACTAAACAGAATTGGTACATTAGAACCCCTGAAAAATTTTCGTGTCGCACAGTGTTATTAAGATAGATATATAATTTTTAACAAAACTTTTACATATGTTTTTTGTGTGTAAAAATATAAAAATTGTTTGTCCAGTAAACCAATCTCAATAAAAATATTCACTTGGCTGATGTGTACATAATTATTAAGATGATTTTCTTCAAACAAAATTGTTTAGACTTGTGTCTTCCACATAAATCGAGATGGTAAATTAGTATTAACAGCTGACTGACTTTATAGGTCAGCTGATATTTGTTTACATAGACAGACACATTTTTAATTCCACTTTGGTGGCCAATCAGATAAAAAAATAAATGTGTAATTTTGAATTCTTTATAATTTTTTTAAGAATTTAAAATTTTTCTCATATACTGCCATTTCGAAAATAGATTCATAAAACAATATGGCAACTGTTGAAAATTTTATTTTTAATGAATATTACCATAAGGTATGTTTACGTTTACTTTTCCAGAAAAATTTATTCAGTAAGATTTTACTGAGAGTATAAACGAAAAATAGAGAAATTTGCAAAATGTATATCAAGTAAAAAAGTGTTACTGATACAGCTTATTACAACAAATTTGGAGCGAATAAAAATCCTTCAATTTTATTAGTGGAATGAATAGCAAGAGAAAATCTGTTATTTGTATTATTTATTCTTTGTACTTGCATTTTCATTGTCCATTTTAATGTTTAGAAATAATAAATCAAAACAAACTTTAGATTTACGAAATCCATTCGATCTCAATTGTTAATTCCATTGCTTATAATTCACTGGATTTGTGAAGACGATTAACAGACGTATGCGCAATGGAATTGACATTGATTGTAAACAAATAGCTTTTTTTGTTTACAATTTATAACAAAACAGCTGATAAAATACCAGCTGATGTTACTGGAAAATCTTTGCGGGGAAATTTCTCTCTTTTATTGGACTTTTGCGTAAACGAACAGTATCCAGTAACAATTTGTGCAAATTATTGAGTAAACAAATATACCTATAATTTAAAACAACTAATGTTTCCATGCATTTTCTATGAAAAATTTTTAAAATATTGATTGAAAAATTGCCACAAGAATTATGACGCCAATTAAATTTCTATGTAAATATGTATAAAGACGAAATGTGTATTTATAAGTAAACAAAAAACAGCTGACTTGTAACTTTATATCATTTTAATACTAGTCTAAACCGCAGGCATTATGTACCTCAATTTATAAGGCCTTAAATAGATATAATATATATAATAGTACTCTTAAAATACGTTAAGATTTACAAAATCCACTTGATCTCAAATGTTAATTCCATAGCGTATACGTCGTATAAAATCCACTGGACGGGTGAACATGATTTAGGTGACGGTATGGTAATGACATTTCAAATCGAGTGGATTTATTACACTGTACGGAATTTATTAAATCCGGTAGATCTAAATTGCCAATTTCATTAAACATTTGTTTGTCAAAAAATCCTCATAGAGACAAATATTGTATTGTAAAATATATATGTATTTAAATTTCAAATATTAT